CAAGTACTGAAAAGGCTCTGTAAGTGTAGACTAATACACTTTTCACAATATTTATCAGAGTATCTTGTTGTTTTACACTTATTGCATTCTCTTGGTTCACCCCATTTATTAGTCGTATTTTTTAATTCGAAACCATAAATAAACCTTTCTCTACAAAATTCCTTTTCATTTTCTAATAGTTCATTGTTTTCTTTGACTAATTGTAAAAAATAACTTTTTTTTTTTTTAAGCACAGAAACAGTTGGAAAAGCAGAATAAGCAATACCACTCATTTCATTATGAATATTAAGTACTAATTCTTTTCTGTCTTGTGTTAATAATTTATATATGTTATTGAAGGACATTTTAACTTTATAATATTTATTTAAAAAAAATAAATTTTTTATTTGACACAACATTCCTTTTTATGGTATTTTTTGCAAATCTTATTATTTGAATGCAGTATGGATGAGTGCTCTAGGCTGGAATAAAAAGGACTTGTAATTCAATTTTGGCTCAAGTCTGCATCATCTTTTCTAGTGCTCTTGAAAAATCGAAATTAAACCGAAAATCACCTCTTTCAGATTGAATTCAGTTAAAACTTTATATATACCATCCATTTTCATCATCCTCATTATTTTCAGATCCCTTGATTTTGAACTTTAAATGATTAATTAGTTTCAATCGTCTGGACATGACAATACAATCAACTTCAAGAAGAATTTATTAAATTATTTAAAAAAAACAACGATAACAAATTTATTATAACCGATTCGAAGTTCTAGATAGACAGGCTTACCTCATTGTTATTGAACTCCTGATTCTTTTCAATCGTTGTTCATTGTCAAGAACTTCGTCGCCTGTATTTTCGCTTACCGCTCCCCAAATATCTATTTTTTAAAGAATTGTCTTTTTAAAGAATGTACTAAAATAAAAACATCTCTACCTTTCATTCGCAGCTGAAAATTTATTTATGTAAAGCTACTAGAACTGTTTACACCAGGTCTTACCAATTGAAGATGAATTCATGTTTTCGCAATTATCATGTCATGATGAATATTTAAAGTTCGCATTGTCTCTTTAAGTTATTCATATCTGAATAAACTTCGTTTCTATATAATTAATTATCAACAAAAGCTTCAATTATGAATGTTGACAAAAATAGGGCATGAAGGCAGTAAGTTTGACTTTATATACTGAGAGACAAGTATTTATGAGTAGACCTTTAACACTGCCTCAATTATAGCACAATTGCTTAAGGTATACTGGGAGCAACTAAAGCAGCAGTTAAACCAACAACGGTCAACAAATTATGGATGGCATCGAAAAGAAATTTGATTGACCAGATTACCACAAAATGGTTTCAATTGTTAGTTAATTGTTCAAGAACGATTCTACAATGATAATGATTATTGCAAATGATCTCTCTCAATTTATTTTATCAAGGAAGCGGATACAAATAATTTGAATTTATGATCGTTAATATATAATCAGGAACAGTAAGCGATGTAATAATTTGTTAATAATATTATAATTAGATAAAAATATTTTATAATTAGTTTATTCTAGCCATCAATTTCGCAAGAAAAAGGCTAAGATATATGTGACCCTCGAGACTTGAGTGATATAATGCCATTCGCCAGGATAGTGATGTTGTTTTACTTAATCTTGAATCAAAATAAACCAATCGTAACAAAAAACAGGATCTGGTATGCATGAATGAACAACGAATTATTGAACAAATAAATTTGACGCTCAAAAGCATATTTTGAACAATGAAGTCAACAAATTGGTTGTCACAATTGAAATAAATATATAAAGATTCTTCATTTTATTTCGTCTAGTATGTTTTTTTTTTAACTAAAAAGTACATTTTACATTAAAGTTCCAATCCATCATGATTAACTTTCTCCAATCTCTCATATTCAAACAAAACATTTTTTAAAGAACTTGCTCTGCTTAATTCTAAGTATGCTTAATATGCTTTCATCGATAGGGATGGTGATATGAGGTATTCAGATATAGTTCATATGCTATACACACTCTAATCACAATGGCAATTACTTTTTTATCTAGAATTGATGGGTGTAAAGCAATCTATGTCAAATTAAATATTAGATTAGATAAAAAAAAAAAGATTTTACTTCCGTCTAGGATTTGTACTTTGACTAATCATCAAAATAACCCTTGGTAAAAAATTACCTTTAGTCAACATTTTAATGATTAGTAATAGTACTGGAAATTCCGATGACAAATATACGGATTTTTTTTTTAACAAAACATAAATGCATATATTAAAAAAAGATTGATCATATAGTTGGTTAGCTCTAACTTTTCTAGGCAAATAAGATTCGGCAAAATTGTTTTTTTAATATTTATACAAATATGTGATTTGTGATTGGTCTTTTTTGTTCTTTTAAATTGACAAGTCATAATGGATTACATTGATGCCTATATTTTACTTTATTTAAGGCATCATCGTTTTCAGTATATATTAATTAAATCGTTTTCAATATCTGTATTCTCTATATTAATATGAATGTTATTTTCAGGTACATTCATTAGATGATTCATTTACAATGTCTATATTAAATTCCTATTTCCCTTTCTCGATGCAATTGGATTTCTAATATAATAATACTATACACCATACGAATTGTAACTATCCACCATTTTGGATTAACCTAACAAAGATGGTTCAAATCAATATGCGATGATATATATTAAAATTTATTGTTTTATACATCAAATCCATGTCCTTATATATACACATAATCCTCAATACCATAGATAGGATTTCGTGATACACACGTATATTAACCCGCAGTAATTAACCAAAAAGTCCTTCCACGAAATATTTTTCTTTTTGATTCTTATTTATACTAATTAATTTTCCACCAATTGATACCTAGTTTTGACCTTCTAAGTTCTTTTCTAGGAAAATAATAGAAACCACTCTATAAATTATTTATTTATTTATTGATGAGTAAAATGAAGAATAATGATATAAATAACCGTTTTTTGTTCGTATCATTGTTGTGTTGACACTTAATATTGCTATTGTTCATTAAACATAGGCAATGAATTTTCTTTATTGAGGTTTCACATCATTATAAACTTAATTGGGCGGGTTCGATTTATCTGATAAGGTTGACGATTTTTGTAATATTAATTTTAAAATTAAATGATAAAAAAAGATTAGCTATGAATAGCATGATTGATACTGTGAATGCCAAGGTTTTTTTAATAAGATATCACAAATATTAACATTGTTTTACGAAAAATTGCATATTGTAAATGTTATAACTGGATAATATTGAAACATTCGTAAACCGATCATATCCCGTAAACCAATCTCTGTTACGATCATTTCACACCTTATAACAGGGAATTTTGATTAATTTCTTAAACACCCGGGTAGTGACATTATGATTTGCATTATCTCATCTAAATGACAACACAACTTTACTTCATTCTAATTGCCTTATTTTACTTTTTCATTCTACCTATCTACAACATCAGTTGTGTTGTTGTTAGTTACAGTACAACTTGATTGGTAGGATAGAATTTTTTCATTATATCTCTCTTTTTTATCATATCAATGCACCATTGAACTAACGATTCCCAAATAAAGTAATAGTTTTAAATAAATAAAATAACAATTTGCGCATGATCGGCTAATCAATAAATTAGGACAAATGATTATTTTATGCATTTAATTTTAAATGTGTGTCTATTTTTTTAGTTTTGCTGTTGTCGATAAAAAAACTCATTTATATGAGAACATATTATATTTTTAAACCGCATACAATATATATTGTAATATTGATCCAAACAATGTCACCAAAAAATGAGGTTTTTTTAAGTTTGTGTAACTTCTAACTGTAGATTCCAAATCGGTAAAAGAAAGAACCCCCCTCATTGTTTGCCAAAAAAGTTTGATAGATTTAATATAATACATAAATGTCGATTATTTAGGTCAATTTAAATAAATATATTAATATTATTTTTCAATTGTTATTGTATAAAATCAACAATGTGTGAACTAGAATAATATAACAAGATGTATAAATAAAAACCATTATAATATGAAAAAAAACCGCATCAAGATTTTTATTTTATTTTTTGGTTTTTTGTTTTTTTTCGCAAACTTTTTCTTTTTTCTTTTTTAGTAAACAAGCTTTAATAAAATTAAAAAGAAGAAGTAATTGCAAAAAAAAATTTTACTATAAATACAACACATTCTTTTTTTCCCTCCGATTCCCCTTTCTTCTCTTTCTTCTTTCTTCACCTTATTGCGGGTCAAAACACTTCAATTATACTTTAAATTTTATCATCATAATCATTATTTTGTCATCATATAAATATAATCGTAAAATAATATCAATTATATTTATTTTTTTTTTTTGTTTATGAAAAGAAGAAAAAGAAGAAATAATTTAGTTACTCATATTTATTATTCATAATGAGTAATGATACTAGTTATGACCCAAACACTGATCCGAATGCCCCTTACGTAGATTACGGTGTGAATCCAGAGTTTACACAGGACATTGAACATCTTCAATTAAAAGCAACTTACGACAAATTAAATATTTATCTAAGCATTATGAGTATTTCATGTGGTTTCTTGGTATTATTTATCATGACCATTATGTGGCTTTATGATAGAAAGTTGGTCGATCGTGTATCATTGAGGTTGACTGCAATGATTTCCTTTGTGGATATGTTAAATGGTGGAACTGTGTTGGCATACACGCTATGGATTCCTGTAGATGGTACATTATGCACTGCTATTGGATTTGGAATGAGTTTTTTCCCTCAGTTATATTTACTTCTAACTGTTATGATTGCATTCAATCTACAGGTAATTAGAATTATTGTTAGCGTAAATATATTGATTTTTTAGTATTATTACAAATTATTAATAGCAAAAAAATTTATTTTCTTGGTGATTGCAGGTTGTTTTTCTTCACAGAAGAAAAGTTTCAAGATTTTCAGATAGATGGTATGTTCCGGTAGCGTTTCTAACAGCATTAATTATAAACATACCACCGCTAGTCTATAATAGATTTGGCTTTGACATTGATTCCACTTATTGTTTATACAGAGAAGGTTATTCCGAGGCAACAAGATGGTGGTCAATTTTAACATTTTTCATTCCAATAACAATATCAATGATTTATTGTACGACGGTTTTGATGATTGTGGTGTGTAAATTGATCTTTGAACATCGTCAATTGGCAGAAGTCATACAATCTTCAAAAAGCAATAAAACCTTATCAGTAAAAGCCAGACACAAAAAATTATTATTGTTAAAATTGGTTAGTCGTATTTCTCTTTATGCGTTAATACCTTTGCTCAATGTAAGCGGTATCTTGGTGGAACTTATTTATGCTTCAGTGCACAAAAAAAGTCGACCCGAGCCTCCGGCTATAGTTTTTTGGTCAATTATTGGAACATGTTCTCCTGGAATTTTTAATTTCTTTGCATTCGTATTCGATCCAGCTTTACATAATGGTTTTAGAAGGTATAAAAGAGTCTTGGTGGATAGTTATGGCTTTATGAAGCCGTTCGACGACGATAATAGCAAAGCAACTGTTTCTTTAAATAGCCCACCATTGTCACCATCAGAATTTAGATTTCCGTCAAATACACCAGCAACTGCAACGACAGCTGCATCTTTTAATAGTATTGATAATATCACTAATAATAATGACAACATTAACAACAACATTAATAATAATTTTAATAATAATAAAATTCAACCCCAATCATCACCAATATTAACTGAAATTTCAATTGCACCACCTAACACCAACCTTAATAGAACTTTTAGAAATTCATCATTAACATTACCACCAATAACACCACTAACACCACTACAAAAATCATCATCACCAATACTAAGTAAGAGTAAATTTATGAAATGGTTTGTACGTAGTTTCCTACTTGACAAACAACAAAAATCTCGATTAAAACAACAAAAACTACGAAAAAGTCAACTAAAAGAATCAATTAAATCACAACAATCACAACAACAACAACAACACCACTATTCTTCTTCTTCATCGCCTTCAATGATTACCATATTACATCCTCCAATAATCAATAAATCATCTCATAATAGATCTAGTTCAACCACACTGATCAATTATAACATTAATAACAATAATAGTAATGTTGATATTAACAAAATTAATAATAGTTACAAAAATAGCTATGGTAATGATTTATTACATGCTCCAACAACAACAACAACATCATCTTTATCACAAAATACAATCAATATTCATCTACATCAACATAATCGACATCACCAAAGAACTCTTTCATCTTCTTCAATTGAATCTTTAGATTCCGTTAATGAGACGTCTGCGTATTAATATAATATTATTGTTATTACCATATTATAATTATCATTGTAATTAATTAATATTATAAATAGAATATTCTTTTTTTTTTTGTATATTATTAGTAGTATTAATAGATATATATATACATGTGTGTACACACACACACACACACATATATAATATAACTTAATAATAATAAACACTGTAAATTTTAAAGCGAGATCCGTTATTGTCATCCTTATTATGGAAAAACCGGTTTTTTTCTCCGCTTACATTCTAGATTCTAGGAAAATTTAATATATTAATATATAATGTCAATATTATCAGTTTTTTTTTTTTTTTTTTTTAAAAATAAATATATATATATACAAAATTTAACAAATCTAAAACAACAACAAAAATATGGTTATATTTAAATCTAAACTCCCTGATCTAAAAATCCCATATGTTGATATTTATCATCATGTGACCAGTAATCCTAATTCCATTCCTGATACTAAACCAATTTTCATTGATGGGTTGACTAACGAAAAAATCACTTTTGGTGAATTTAAAAGTTATACTCGAAAGGTTGCCAGTGGATTAAAATCAATTGGATTTAAACCTGGAGAAGTTTTGGCAATTGTTTCTCTGAATCACATACATTATCCTATTGCGTTATTTGGAGCCATTGCATCTGGTAATTAATTGATTAATCAATAACTAGTTTATTTATTGTCCACAAAAAAATTTTCAATTTTTTGCAAAAATTTTTTTTTTTTTTCAGGTGGAATTGTTACATTAGCTAATTCTGGTTATAAAGCTCATGAATTAACACATCAATTATCCGACTCCAGAGCATCAGTCATCATTGCACATCCATTACTATTACCTGTTGTATTGGAAGCTGCAAAAAATGTAAAAATACCAACCTCCAGGATCTTTGTATTTGATGAAAAGGAAGACATTGAAAATGGCATTAAACCATTCACCAGCTTATACAAGGATGATGATGATTCAGCAATTATTCATTATACAACCGAAGAAAAAGTCAAATCAACTACTGCCTATTTGTGTTATAGTTCTGGTACAACTGGCAGACAAAAAGGTGTTGAGACCACACATTATAATATGATTGCTAATCTTGAACAAGTTTATCATTTCGAGGGATTCACTCCTGATCTTGTCTTCTTGGGAATATTGGTGAGATTGGATAATAATAATTACGATGATTGTGATTCATGATTTATCATAATCGTGATTATGAGTTTGATGATGATATTTTATCTTATTTCTTTATAGCCACTTTTTCATATATATGCATTGAACATTACTCTGCATCAAGTAACTTATAGTGTAAGTTTTCAATAAAATTTTTTGTTTCTTTAAAAAAACTTCCTTCTCATGAAACTTTTTTATTATAAATAATAGGGAGCGACAGCAATAATTTTATCAAAATTTGATATAAATTCATTTTGTCAAACAATACAAGATTATAAAATAAATCTTGGATATATAGTTCCGCCAATTTTGCTTCAACTGGTTAAAAACCCAGTTGTTGACAAATATGATTTATCAAGTTTAAAATTTATTGTAAGCGGTGCTGCTCCATTGAGCAAAGAGTTGAGTGAGATTTACAACAACAGATTCAAGAAAATACCTCTTAAGCAAGGTTATGGACTTACTGAAACTACACCAGTGCTTACATTGGGTAAAACTGATGATATTGTAGTTGGTAATATAAAAAATTATGTTTTGAATTATTTCATCAAAAAAAAAGAAATAAATAATAATATTTTCTTTTTTAGGGTCATCTGGAATTATTGTAGCAAATGTTGAGATAAAATTTATTGATGAAAATGGAAAAGGTAAATAAGAAGTAATAACAATAATTTAATTTAATTCTTCAAAACTAAATAATTAATTTTTTTGATAGAACTTGGAGTTAATGAAGAAGGTGAAATGTGTGTTCGTGGTCCAAACGTCATGAAGGTACCAATCATATACATATATATATATATGAATATTGTTAATTAATTTACTTTGACTAAAACCTCCAAAAAATAGGGTTATCTTAATAATGAAAAAGCCACTAAAGAATGTATGGATAAAGATGGATTTTTTCATACTGGAGATCTTGGTTATATTGATGAAAATGGTAAATTGTTATTTATCATATAATGTCATGTAAAATATTTTCTTTTATTTTTAATTGACATGTTTATTATTATTGTTGTAAAAAGGGAATGTTTTCTTGGTTGATCGTGTAAAAGAACTTATCAAGTATAAGGTCTGCAATCTTTCTTTTTTTTACTTGTTAATTAAAATAAATTTTAATCAATTGATTTCCTCATCCCCTTTTTCCTTTCATCATCACCTCAAATTTTTTTAGGGCCATCAAGTTGCACCTGCAGAACTTGAATCAGTTCTACTTTCCAACCCTATAATTTCCGATGCAGGTGTAGTTGGCATTTATTCAGAACAAGACGCTACAGAATTACCAGTTGCTTATGTCGAACTAGCAAATCCAGCCGCCAGTGATCACCAACAAATTAAAAAATCCATTCAAGATTACGTGGCTGAAAAAGTTGCTCACCATATGCGACTACGCGGTGGTGTCTACATTATTGATAAGATACCTAAAAGCGCTTCCGGCAAAATTTTGAGAAAAGATTTGAGAGAACGACTTAAAAGTGAATGGGTTCGTCCTGATAATCTTTAAAGAAACTGTATAAATATTTTTTTTTATATCACTCTCTATAAATAGCCTGTTACTATTGTGTGTAATGTTCATTTGAACTTATTAATATAATAAACACTTTTTTTTGAGATTCAATGAGATCTTGGCACAACAATGTTATTTTTTGAATGTCATATGCACAAGTTTCATACTCGGATTTATTAGTATCATAAAGGCGACTTATTTAGAGCAAATGGCGAAAATTCAAACATTGTAAAGTTATTCGTGATACGCCACATACCAGGTTACTTTTTCATAATTGAATTATTTAGAACTGTTGTGCGTGAAAATGAAGTCTATGTGAATTTGAGCATAGTGGACATTCGTGACAAAATCGATCGTTGATCTTTTTTATTATTATGTTGTGAAAAATATGGCTTCAATTGAATTTAGAATACAGTCAAAGCTCTCTCTATAACGAACAAAAATTCTCGGGACAGGGGGTTCGTTATAGAGAGCGTTCACTATATATAATAATAAAGAAAGTGTCGATCAATCATCACGTTTATAGTCATGTGATCGTAATATAATTATGAAAATTGCACATTAATCTCTTTCTTTTAAAATCTCAGTTACTGTAGATTTTCCAACATTATAAATATCTGCAAGTTCAACGTTAGATCCCTTTGTTTCAACAAACATAACTCTTTCTTTTGTAAAGCTGTCAAAGTAGTTATTCTTTTAGTTGACATTTGGTTGAATTTTAAAATATATTTTTAAAAAAAAAAAATGCATACGTATATTTTATATATTTAACAAAAATTGGTATTTTAATTTATTTTCTTTATTTTCATTAATGATTTAACAAAAGAGACGTAGTGTGTAAACAATCAATTAATAAACAATTGTATTCTTATCGCTTGTATAATGTTAATATTAATTTTGTTTTCGTTATAGTTGAAGAAAGAAATCGGTATAATATACTTTGTATCAAATAATAATAATAATAATTTTTTTTTTTATTGCAGTATTGATGGGAAAAAAATTTTTTTGATGTCAATAATGATAAATTTTTTTGTGTTCGGTATAGAGAGCGCCATTTTATATTTAAATTTGTCATATGATTTTTCAAAAGCAGTTCGTTATATAGAATAAAGAATTTAATTATACAGAGCAAAATTAATTAACAAAAAATCGGGACCAACACCTTAGTTCATTATTGAGAGCAGTTCGGGTTTTTGGAGGTTCGTTATAGAGAGCTTTGACTGTATGTACAAAATTTTTTTTGCACTTTGCATAACATAAAAAAATAATTACTTAAATTGGAAAGATCTACATTTTGAAATTTCGGACTACACATAGGGTTTCTATTCGAATAAGGTTTATTCGAATTATTCACTTTATTCGTTATGAATTTGAGTATTCGAATTACATTGAAAGTTTATTCGAATAAGGCGAATAAGGAAATTAATTCGGATAAACAAATAATTAAGGTCCAGTTTAAATCCAAGCCCACCGAAAAGATTGCTATTTATTAAAAGAAACATGAATCTTGATTCATTCTTTCCTTATTAGTTTCATTTTTAATTTCAATTTTTATAATAATAAAATCAATATTAAACCTTGTTGTTTGAATATTTAAGTAATGAACAACCAATGATTCCAAATAATCTAATAAAATGAATGAACAAACCCAAGATTCCAATAATGAATGAAACAAATAAAACAAATAACATGAACAAAACGAATAATTCAAATAAAAAAAAACAAATAATCCAAATAAAACAAATAATTCGAATAAAGCGAATTAAATTTTTTAATTAATATTAATTAAAGATCAACTGTATTACGAATAATTCGAAAAAGAATTTTGGATTGTTAATAGAAGCCCTATAATGGTTAAGTATAAAGTTCCGAACGGTTCGATCCCAAAATTTCAGGCATCCTAAATTTGTCAACTGTGCAGAAATACACTCCCTGGACAAAAGTTTCGGTCACCACAAAGCAATTGATTACGCAAAAACGTACATAATAAAACACAAATAAATTTCATCAAATCGTGATTAAAGTTCTCAAGAATATGTATGCAAAATTTCAAATTTTTGTAATGTTTGGGAGAATAACAGTTAAAAAACTAAAAAGTTCGACCAAAAATCTTCTGAAAAATCGTAGTTTGCCAAAAAAAAAAACAGATTCTCAGAAACTTACATAATAACCACACCTGAAATCGTGATATATGAAAGACTAGATTCTGAAAAATTACGTCATATGTTTTTTATACAAGTTTTTTTGTAAAAAATTGCTTAAATTTTTGATAAAATTAAAAAAAAAAAATGTCAAAGCAAAAATCGTCAAAAATTGGATTGAAACAAAAAAGTAAAAATTTTGAAAAATTGGCCAAGTCA